GGAAGGACCAATGCTATCAATACACGTGCCTGGCCTTCGGCCTTACATCTGCCGGACAAATCTTCTCCTGTTGCATAGCAGAAGCCCTAGCCACGGTCACATCCCGTGACAATATTTCTTCCTATATCGACGACAACCTGGTCCACGCTAGGACATTTGGGAGTACATACTCTCCCTCGAACAATTTTTTACTACCCTCCGAAAATTCGGACTCAAGCTGAATCCCGATAAATGTTCCTTCCTCGCATCAGAGGCAAAATTCCTCGGACGCATAGTAAACAGCGAAGGATTCAAGGCTGATCCAGAATACGTTCGTGCCATCAGGGAAATGAAACCTCCAACATCAAAAAAAAGGAATTACAAAGCCTAATCGGCTGTTTAGTGTGGATCAGACAATTCCTAGAGACACGTCTTCACGAACAAATCAGGTCAGATATGTTTTCAAAACTTATGGGTCCCATACACAAACTCAACAAGGTTAATAAACCGTTTGTCTGGACGCAAAATGCCAACAGAGCCTTCAAAAAAATCAAGGACCGTCTCTCTTCACCGCCCGTCATCTCGTTTCCAGATTTCTCCAAACTTTTCACACTCACCACCGACGCCAGTGACGTCGCATGTGGAGCAATCTTAATGCAAGAAGCCGACAACGGGAAGAAAGATATCATAGCAGTCGCTTCCCATACATTCAACTCCACGGAACAGAACTGGTCCACGACGGAAAGAGAGGCATATGCAATAAAGTGGGCAATATTGAAATTTGATTATTTCCTTAGCAATCGCCCCTTCGTCATCTTCACCGACCACAGATCGCTGACATACCTGGAGCAACGAGAGTTCAATAATGCCAAAATACGACGATGGCAAGAAGAAATTTCATGTTATAAATTCGTCTTGGAATATGTTGAAGGCGAATCAAATGTATGGGCTGACATGCTCAGCAGAGGTTGCGGACATAAGAAAACGAAAGCCCCGAACGACCCTACACCGGTGGGCAGGACATTCGAGGTAAGCGGTTCAGACCTCCGCGTATACATCACATCTTGGTGTCTCGGCGAGTTTAACGGTTTACAGCTCATTCCCAAAACTCACACACCACAAAACGCTCGCACCCACAATCGCGTCACCAACGCATTCTTCGCCTATCACTCTACCACCACCATCCCCTCTGAGAGAATCTGCAACCACCTCGGCATCGCAGATGAACAACTGAAGGACGACGCCCTGGCAAAGATCATCAGCGCCCTCCAGTCACCCACCCCAAGCGAACCTCATATCGATCCTGACGACCACCGAGCTACGCTTTTCAAAAAACATTTCCACCAATTTTTTCTAGAACCAGGCACCTCCGTTTTGATTATAAGAGACAGTAAACACTCTCCGAGATTGGTTGTACCATACAAACTACGACCCAGATACCTTTACCAGGATCACGAGGGCAACAACCACTCAGGTGTTAACCGTATGCGAGAACTCCTTTCCAGCTACTGGTGGGAATTCAAAAGCCGCGACATCAAGGCCTATGTCGATTCTTGCGACACGTGTGCTAAGTGCAAGGGCAACTACGGTAGACGTACCCACTGGCCCATTGGCCACTGCAAACGAGGAAAGAGACCATTCGATCTCGTCTTTATGGACTTTGTCACAATGCCCAACTCAAAGGGAAAACGCTAAATCCTAACCATCTTGGATAGCTTCAGCCAACATTTTACAGCCATACCATGCGCGAGAAACCGTGCTATCGACGCCGCCCTCGGATTGTATCATTTCTTCCTTCGACACAGAGAGATTCCACGCATAGTATCCTCTGATCGAGGCACACACTTCACTGGAGAAGTCTATCGACAATTCTGTAACCAGATGTCAATCACGCAAGAACTTCACTGTCCTTGGCACCCGCAAAGCTCAGGAAATATCGAGAGACAACATCGCACGATGAAGAACGCACTTTATATGTTATGCGAAGACAGGAACTGTGAATGGACAGACGTTATATAATCTGTCGTTTCGTCCATGAATGCCACGACCAACAGCGCCACCGGTGTCTCCCCGCACTATGCCATTACCGGCCGTCACCCCAACATCGGCCTACCTACACTACACAGAAAAGAAATCACAAGCGACGATCCTGGAGCATATGGAATGCAAATTAATGCCCTGCTAAATCAGGTTCACCACCACGTCACCCTGGCCAACGATGAAGCTGACCACAAACTTGAGACTAACTTAAATCGCCTCACATACAAGGACCCAATACAAGTAGGCGACAAGGTTTTACTTCATCGGCCACACTCAACTGTTGCCCAATCCTCTCATCTGCCCTAGATAGGAAATTACACCATTATAAAAACGAACAATATGATGTGTCAGGTGCAAAACGATGATGGTGATACAATCTGGATTCACCGTGCACATATCCGACGACTGGCTCCACGCCCAACACATCTTTCTAATACAATCCCTCTGCCTCCACCATGTAACAGTCACCAGGATCATTCTCCTCCACATCCCTCAGGGACACATAATTCAGCAAATAATTCCATACCAAAACAAATGCCAATAAGAAGAACACGAGGACAACTTCCCACACGCTTCAGATACTTTATCATGAATTAATCACCCAAATATACACGAATAACGCTCACTGTAAATGAGACCGAGATCTGGGAGAGCCTTGTTATAAAATAAAATAAGACATATCTCGGCTGATTTACAGGCAAATATTCAAGAGCGAGAACCGGATGTGAACGGGACAAAGCCCCGTCACAAAATGACCATTATCTTTCTTTACAAATGTTCCCGACACACGTGTTCCGGTCGAATAATAAAATAATATTTAAAGTGCTCTATTTTTCGTCCAATAAAAATGCTTCCCTCCTAATTATACTCGCTTCGTTTCTAGAGTCTGTTAAGCCATAAAAAAACGCTATAAAAGGGGTCACACGAAAGTTCAACAGTCAGTCAACAGGTGCCCAGGATAGAGACCTGTCACGTTCAGCTGCAGACAGCAGGGGAGCGTCAACCACCGTCAACATGTGTGAACTGCTATGAGAGATTGACCTAGATCCGAAAGTCGGCTTATGAACTTTACCACAAGGTAGCTGTCCCAAACCCACACGTTCCTGTTGAAATAATCCACGTAAATCTATTTCTGCTATTGTCGTATTTCTTTCTTGCAACCATACGCTTGTCTATAACAATACTATGGTCTTAGAATTAATGTTTTCTTGTTTTCATTGTGGCAAACTGGTCAATGACATCGTCAAAATCTGTTTGTCTTGTAAGCTCGTTTTCAATGGACAGCACAGCCAGATCCGACAGTCTCAACTGGCTCATGGTTGACTTAATTTTCTGTTGCTAATTTTCCGGTGTCCAATTTTCCGTTGCATCATTTTCTGGGTACCATTTAATTATCGATGATGTTTGAAAGTATTTTTCTTGACAACAATGTTCGATTTAATTTTTAAGCATTTACGGAATTGTCAATCAACTGCATTCTTTTAGGTTACCTAGAGAATTTATGCAAAGTTTATTTTTTTGTTTTTCTTTATAGAAGTAAAATAAATTTACATCGTATTTTGATGTTATTATGATTTTAGTTTTAGTGATAATTTAAAAACAATAAATATTTATTTATCATTAGTACCAATAATGGAAAATTAAGTTAAAAATTTAAAAGAATCGTTTTTGGAATCGGAAAATAGGCACGAATTTTTCCGATACCGTTTCCGATACTCCAAAAAGTTCCGATTTTTCCTATTCTCGATTCCGATTCTGATTAATCGTCCCAACGCTAATAGATATATTCAAAAGTATATCGCTCACTCAATGGAAAATTGTATCTCAGCGAATTGATACACGGGCAAGACTGAAATTGTTGCACTTTTGGCTTCGTATTTCGCTTTGTTGTTATTAATGATGCAGAGTTAAAACACCATATCATCCGATCAAATGTTACAACAATGTCTCTTGTTAGTAACCAAGATTGTAGCAACTGAAACACATGAAAGCTGAAAACATTGCTATTTTTCCTATTCACAAATTTCCCGACAATTTATTAGAAAATTTCTGACGGGGGGACAAAAAAGGGGGTCATAAATTATTTCTGGGGAAACCCTGTGTCTCCACCACTGTTTTCAAACTATTTTTGGCACCTTAGCCTGGTTATTGGGGTTTTTTGTTGGGGGTGACATTGTGTCCCCCTCCTGTGCTGGCACCAGGGCGGTCCCCCCAGCTACGCCACTGGGTAGAATTGTATCTGGAAAAAAAAAAAAAAAAAAAAAAACATTTAAAAAAAACAAACATGCTATCCTTTTCAGATAGAAGATAGAATGTTTTTAATTTCTTCTTTTTTTCAGATTTATTTTTTCTCCAATTGTAATTTAAGGATTTTGAAACTTCTTTTGATGACTCTTCATAGTTCTACAAAGTCAGATATCTGCCATTTGTTTGTTTGGCTGTTTTTGTTTAATGGCATATCAACCTCTATGGGTTATTTAATGCCAAAATCTAAACATTTTTTGTACACAATTTTATTTTTATTCTACTGGTTTAGTGATAAAAATCTTACTAATTAACCCATAGCTGGGGAGAGAAGAGGTGAATTCATATATTTCCCAAGGATATTTGTGTATAAGTAAATATAACAGAACCCAGCAGGAATTTTATTTTACTGGTTTAGTGATACAGATCTTACTAATTAATCCATAGCTGGGGAGAGAAGAGGTGAATTCGTATATTTCCAAAAGATATTTCTGTATAGTGATTTTCCAAGCATAGCTTGGATGTGGCACAAGGCCGAATGTAGGGGGCACCCAGTGAGGATCGAGCTCACTACTCATTCATATTTGTTCTAGTGAGACAAGCTTGCTAACTGTTACACCAACTTGATGTGCCCAGGATATTTGTGTATAAGTAAATATAAAAGGACCGAGCAAGAATTAGAACTCAGCTCTTCGATTAACAGTTCCATTATCCATTACACTACCCGCAAATCCAAGCTTACAACACCTGTTATTCCCAAGCCGTCACCCATCTAGGTACTTGCAAGGTTCAGCATTGCTTAACTTCAATGATCGTATCGGAACCAGTATTTCAATGTGATGTAGCCATATGCTCCATATCCGAGTCTCAGATGTGTAACAGTGGGTATTAATTTTGTGTTCTTGTCTCTCCATGTCCATATCAAATAGTATAACCTTACTTTATAGTGACAATTTAGCTTTGAAATCCCTTTGTAAATGAGTAAGGTTTATGAATGAAAATACCCTTTGAAAAAATGTAACATTAAAATGAATTAAAGTACACTACAGTTCAAAAATTTGAGGAACCCCTGGTAATTTTTAAAATAGATGTTTTGTACTTTAAGAAAAAAATATTGTATATGGTTAAGAAAAAAAGTGAAACATGATTTTTATTAGAAGTTTTATTATGACAAAAAGAAAACAAAAAAAACATTTTATGATTAAATTTTGCTTTTCTCAAAATATTCTCCTTTAGCTTTGAATACTGCAACACAAATTTTTGGCATTCATTGCAAAAGTTTGTCAAAGTATAAATTTGGTATATGATTCCATTCTTTTTTTTAATGACTTTAAGAGTTCGTTTTCAATTTTTTTTTTTTTTTCACTTTTCTGTCAAGTTCATCCCATGATAATTCTGGGGATTCCATCAAACTTTTGAATTGTAGTGTAGATAAGAAAAATCAGGAAAATGTTTACATCTAGCAGAGATTTATGAGAATTATTTTTTATTACAGTAAGGTTCACCCTGTATAAACTGAGATGCCCCTCAAGGTTGAGGGTTATGTTAAGGAGTGGTTTATATGGATAGGAGAGGAAAATAATGGTTGACTCTCAATTTGAATGGGTTAAAATTGTAGTGATCAGGGGAACATTCTCTTGAGGGTCTGTTCCATAGGGAAGTGGTTCACAGGAAGAAACTGTTTGAATGGAACTTGCTTCTGACTGATGGAATAGGGAGGGAATGTCAGTGGTTTGGTAACCATTTGTTGACTTTTATGGTTTGGTACTATGTAAACAGAATTATGGGTCCTAGGCAGATGCAGTTTCTCCAAGCAGTTTTCAATAAAATAATCTCAGTAACCATTTGTTGACTTTTATGGTTTGGTACTATGTAAACAGAATTATGGGTCCTAGGCAGATGCAGTTTCTCCAAGCAGTTTCCAATAAAATAATCTCAGTAACCATTTGTTGACTTTTATGGTTTGGTACTATGTAAACAGAATTATGGGTCCTAGGCAGATGCAGTTTCTCCAAGCAGTTTCCAATAAAATAATCTCAGTAACCATTTGTTGACTTTTATGGTTTGGTACTATGTAAACAGAATTATGGGTCCTAGGCAGATGCAGTTTCTCCAAGCAGTTTCCAATAAAATAATCTCAGTAACCATTTGTTGACTTTTATGGTTTGGTACTATGTAAACAGAATTATGGGTCCTAGGCAGATGCAGTTTCTCCAAGCAGTTTTCCAATAAAATAATCTCAGTAACCATTTGTTGACTTTTATGGTTTGGTACTATGTAAACAGAATTATGGGTCCTAGGCAGATGCAGTTTCTCCAAGCAGTTTCCAATAAAATAATCTCAGTAACCATTTGTTGACTTTTATGGTTTGGTACTATGTAAACAGAATTATGGGTCCTAGGCAGATGCAGTTTCTCCAAGCAGTTTCCAATAAAATAATCTCAGTAACCATTTGTTGACTTTTATGGTTTGGTACTATGTAAACAGAATTATGGGTCCTAGGCAGATGCAGTTTCTCCAAGCAGTTTCCAATAAAATAATCTCAGTAACCATTTGTTGACTTTTATGGTTTGGTACTATGTAAACAGAATTATGGGTCCTAGGCAGATGCAGTTTCTCCAAGCAGTTTCCAATAAAATAATCTCAGTAACCATTTGTTGACTTTTATGGTTTGGTACTATGTAAACAGAATTATGGGTCCTAGGCAGATGCAGTTTCTCCAAGCAGTTTCCAATAAAATAATCTCAGTAACCATTTGTTGACTTTTATGGTTTGGTACTATGTAAACAGAATTATGGGTCCTAGGCAGATGCAGTTTCTCCAAGCAGTTTCCAATAAAATAATCTCAGTAACCATTTGTTGACTTTTATGGTTTGGTACTATGTAAACAGAATTATGGGTCCTAGGCAGATGCAGTTTCTCCAAGCAGTTTCAATAAAATAATCTCAGTAACCATTTGTTGACTTTTATGGTTTGGTACTATGTAAACAGAATTATGGGTCCTAGGCAGATGCAGTTTCTCCAAGCAGTTTCCAATAAAATAATCTCAGTAACCATTTGTTGACTTTTAATAACAATAGTAATAGTCATGACAGGCTTTTTGATTTATAGCTACATTTATAAACCAAGATAATTTAGTCATTGGTTTTCATTTTTATATTTGGTGGCAGAAACTCATTAGTTTCTCTGAGAGACAGGAATTCAATAAAACAGAAACAAAAAAGAAACTCATACTTAACATCAGAAAGAGACAGTTGATATTCCTAGGGCATATAATGAGGAAAGATAAAGTAATTAAATAAACTAAATAAATTAAAAATATACAACAATGTATGATAGTGTTTAAGAATTTACTTCATGTGAATTTGCAGTGGTGTAATAAATTGTGGCTCAGAAAGAGAGTCAAGTGTCAAGTTTGAATTCCAATCAAGTCCATTACATTCACTGACATGAAAATACTTCTAGGGAAAATAAGAATCTGTAGTGCCACGCCTACATTTCTTCAACTTTGATTGGTCGATTAATATATACTAAAAATAATAAGACAATTTATCGATCACATTTCACCATACTGAATTTTTTCCTACAGTTTGCTCACAAACAAGTTTTGTTATAAAATCACTGATTGGTTCATTTTTCATCCAATCGAAGTATTTTTCATTATACCTTCAAAAAATATATCCCGCGTTCGTGCTGGGAGCCACATATAGTAGTATAAATTTGGATGCATTTCCCAAATCAAACAGTAGAGTAATAGACCACAGTAGAGTACAGAGCAGAGACAATAGATCTCAACTACTCACTTGTGTTATTCATCCTACTCACTCCGCACGTACACACACACAGAAACAGAACCTGAATTTCATACAACATCAGTTCTATGTGAACAAACCAAGTTGAAACAACGCTGTTAGTTACAAGCACACAACTGAACAATCTTCTGAAGATACATTCAATCTCAACACAGAACTCTGAACTTTATATTCAGAAAACTCTGAACTTTATACTCAGAAAAACTTGTTTAAAAACATTTCCTAACAGATAAAGGGGAACTACTTTTTTCTCCTTATACACACATTATACAACTACCTTGTATTTATTGTTGATTTTAATATATATGTTTATTCGTTGAAACAAATTGGTTCTTCATTGTTTTTCCTTGATATTTAAAAAATTATGTATGAATGTTAAATGCTTATTCAACATGCAACCACACTTATCTACCAAGCAGCATCCTACATTGGTAACCTCAACACTTAAGAAAGCAGCATTCTACAAATCCATCTCTTCTAACTTAAGCTATAGGTTGAATATCAGGACTGATTGGATCCTATACTCTTGGTTGGCAACCAGTCTTGAAGAAGGAAAACTCTAAATTCAAACCATCCTGGAGATGAATGGATTCCATCAGGCTGTCTTTCCCTAGACACATCATTGATGCTATGGCTGCAATACATGTGGTGCCTCTAAAACTAATAGGCTACAGGACTCGGGATCACGACCATGACTTGTTACTTGTTGGTTACATTTATTTGCAGTCAAATATCCTTGGGAAAGGTATGAATTCATCTCTTCTCCTATGGGTAAATAGTAAGACAGTCTGGGACCTATAGCCTTTGTTTTGCAACTAGTCTAGGAAAAAGAAAACTCTGTTTTCAAACTAGTCTTGAGATGAATGGGTTCCATCAGGCTGTTCTTCCCTAAACATATCATTGATGCTACTGGCTGCAATACATGTGGTGCTTCTAAAACTAATAGGTTAGTGGACTTGTGATTATGACCATGTTTTATTTCTTGGGGGAAAATATGTTTTTAATAGTTTTTTAAAAACAATTTTTTTAAGTAAGTGTTTTTTCATTAGTTAATATGCTATTACTAAGTAAATTAATATTTCTTTTTGTTGTTGGAGGAACGTGGAAATGAAATTGTCATCGTAAATAATGCAATGTAACAATTCAATAAAAATTAAATAAATAAAAAAGTATAAATTTAAACAGCAGACACGATAATCAGAACAATAATTCGGATAAAGGGAAACAACTCGACCTTAAAAATTATATGAAAGTTTTTTCCCTTGAACCCGTATCGTATTCATTTACATTTAATTATATTTTCGCGCGCACACACACACACACACACACACACACACACACACACACACACACACACACACACACACACACACATCACTCACATATCGTACATGTACGTATTTTGATTTATCTATCTATAATTGTGTATATATATACATATATGTGTGTGTGTGTGTATATATATATATATATATATATATATATATATATATATATATATATATATATATATATATATATATATATATATATATAAAAATAAATAGAAAGAATAGTAAGATTTATAATCCGGTGTTCTTATTATTTTTATTTTTAAAAAACAATCCTCAATACAATTCTGCAGAGCATAAATATTATAAATTTACTAATTTAAAAATATGGTTCCATCGCTACACACGAATTACCATGTTTCAAAAACAGAAAATAAAAACTTCAAATTTAATTATAGAATTAAATTAAAATCCCTAGTACTGTTTCATTTTCAAGTGAATTTTGGAATAACCTATTTTTAAATTTACTGAGTTTTAAAAACTCAGTAAATTTTACTGAATGTGTTGGCTATAATAAGTTTTTTTTTATCACTTTTCATATTGTCCGTTTACAGATATACTCTTTCTGAAATTTTTACATATATATATATATATATATATATATATATATATGACAATTCTGTGTAGTGTACAGGTTTGATTCCTGTCAGAGGACATATATTTTCAGGCCAGTAAATGTAGATAATACTGTTTATAATAAGCAG